ACTGGTCATTTCCTTGGTGTCAATAGCCACGTCTTCTTTATTTATTTTTGATGGGACTGGAGTTTGAACTCAGGGATTCTTGCTTGCAAAGCAGGCACTCTACTGCTTGAGCCACACCTCCAGTCCATTTTGCTCTAGTTATTTTGGAGATTGGGGGGGGGTGTCTCAGGACCTACTTGCCCAGGCTGGTCTCAAACCACAATCCTCATGAGCTCAGCTTCCCAAGTAGCTAGGCTTAAAAACCAGCACCCAGCTTACCAGTCATGATCTTGACCAGAATCCCCACCACCACACAGTTTCTAAAGACAGCTGTACATTTCAAAACATGAGTTCTCCAGACCAGTCAAACCCAGGGTTCAACTACTAACTAACTCAGGCTCTCTATCTCTCTGAGCCACAATTTCCTCCTCTTCAAAATGGGGATGGATAAAACTCCACAGAGTCATTGTGAGTGTTCAACAAGGCAGTACATGCCACAGGGCCAGCAGAGCGCTTCCCACAGAGCATGACCAGGAACCTTCTTGTTCCCTGTGGGCCCTCTCTGCAAAGGTTGCTCCCACAACCCCAGACACACCTGTGCAGCTTCCCTTTGAACTGAATGTAAAAGAGACTTCAGCCAGCTTGTTTTGAAAGGGCATCATTTTTTCAAAAGCACAACTTAAGAGACTCAGTCACAAGCTTTGCTCCTTCCCCACATGGCCACAGATTCTGTTACCACAGCCCAGCACCTTTGCATGGTTCCTCTCCTGACCACAGCCAGTGGGCAGGACCAGAAGACTTCCGGTGTGGAATGCTGTTTTCCAGGATTTTGAGCCAACCCAAGTGTCCGAGAGAAAAGATATCCCTGAAAGTAAGGAGGCATTGCTGTCACTGTGTCCAGGCAGCAAACCCAGGCTCCATGCATCCCCCAACTCCTGGGCTACAGATGTGATAAGGCCTACCTCCAGCACCTAGCCCTCCCCAGCTCTCAGCCTTTGGAAACTACAGGTTCCCCAGACCTCCTCTGAGGAACACTTACGAAGTAGGATTGTCCAGGGGAAAACTTGCCAAGGTGAAAGTAGACACCAAAAAGGACACAGCCCCCAGTTCCGCATCCCTTCAGGGATGATTGGAGTTACTCAGGCAGGTTAAAACTGCCACATTTGATGACTGTATTTGGGTCAGGAAAGGAAAACCGGGTTTCCTTCTCAGTTCTGCCACAGACATGTAACTTGGGAGAAGTTATCAAGACTCTGGGAATTTCCCAGGAGATCAGACTCTCAGCCAGGCATGGTACCAGAGGCCCTGCTGCCCACTTCTCTGGCTCCCCTTTTGACTATAAATGCTCCTCAAGCCCAAAGACCATGAGGGCACCCACACACACACACCTCAGCCAGGTTGACTGCCAGCTAGGAGTGCACAAACACTTCATAAGTGACTGAAGGCCTAGCAGTATACACACATCCATGCATGCCCTGAGAACCTGATCTGAGGACACTTCCAGCAGTCCCTACCAAACAGATGCTTCTGGGGGCCCAGGGAGAGCTCGGGTTCTCACAGAGCAAGGCTCTGGCCTCTGCATAGCTCAAGTGAGGGTTAGGCCTCTCCGCCTTCCCAGGAGCAGCTGGGCCTCCCCCATCAGCCCCTAGCTCCAGGGCAACTGCTCAGGGAAGCAGCCAAGTGCAGACTGTACCTACTACCACTACCCAATGTCCCCTCTCCAGCAAGGCCTGCCTCATGAACAAAGTCCTCTGGAGACCTTTCTCCAGGCACAAGTTAGGAAACTTGGCTGAGGCAGAGCCTGTCTGGGAGTGCTGTAGGGCTGGCAGCAAACAGCGTGCTACCAAGACCCCCAAAAGGTGAATCAGCCTAAGGCAAGTGAGCATCAGGGATGAACTGGGGCTTGTGGCAAGCCCACCTGTGGGACAGGCCACAACTAGAACACAACTAGAAAATGAGAACACCCCCAATTGCCTAGTGAAGGTCTCAAGTCCCAGGAGGGCCCAATGCACACAGGGTGCCAAATTCTACCACAAGAAAGCAGCCGTTCAATTCTGTCTACAAGAGACTGTAGGTCTCAGCTGTGGCTCCCTCTCCATTTCCATAGGAAAAATGCGAGTGTGTGATGGAGGTCAGTGGATCTCCAGGAAACCCTAGGAGACTGAGAGAGGCCAGCACACTGCCGGGCAGGTAGGAGGCAAACATTAAACCCTGGCTCTGTCCAACCATTTCCACCCATGCTGAAGCACTCCACACAGGGCAGCCAGGCTCACAGATGCCTGCACACCATCACAAGCTGGGATCTTGATAAGCAGCAGCCCGCCCCTGGTCAAGTTCTTCCGGGGATATCTCTCAGGCTTCTGTCCTGACCAAGCACTCATGTAAGGAGAACCAGAGTGGGCTAAGCTCCTTAAGGTTCTTCCACAAGTCTGATGTAATTGCAGAAGCCACACCCTCTGGCCAGACCCTTCTTCCAAACCCAGGAATCTAATGTTGCAAGCACAGCCGCTGGGGGGCCAGCCTGGTTTGCAAGAGAAGCCTGCAGAACAGGAAAGAAAGCTCAGTGGACACTGCCACTGGCCCAACTGGCCTCTCCACATGCTGCTCGGGGTGGGAGATCCCCAGCCAGCCAGCAGGGGTTTTTCCTGGCCTGCATCATCGACCTCTAGGAAGTCAGAGCCCGCTGTATTAGTTCCTTCTCACGCTTTGTACATGAGTGCCATTGGGCACTTACCAGGAAAAGTTCACAGGCAGACTGACAGACCCATAGAAAGCCTGCAGGTGTAATGGGACCATCCCCATTTTACAGATGGGGAAGCTTAAGATAGAAGTCATGGGACTTGCCCAACGTCACCCAGGCAGGACCAGGACCAATTTCAAAGCTGTGGACATTTCTGCTCACCACAGCACTCCTATCGTCAAGATTCTTGTAGCAGTAAATTTATCTCCTACATTATCAGCCCAGTAAATTGGGATTTTAGAACCATTCTTGAGCAGAGATCTGTACAACAGCTTACACAAATGTTTGAGTCAACCCAGCTGGGCCTTCTTCACTAAACCACCCAATGCAGCGCTTAGGGAGCTCTCAGAGATCCCCTCCAACCTCCTTTTTTTGTAGGATGACTGGGATTCCTCAACTACCTGGTGGCAGCCCCAAAGAACAAGCTCCAAGGGTCTAAATCCTCATCCCAAACAGAACCCAGGTCCCTGTCTTTTCAGGGAGCAGGGTGACCCAGAATCCACACCACAGTGGAAAGAACAAGGAACAGGACATTCACACTGCAAAGTGCCCTTGGACTTCAGAAGGCTTTCCAGCCACCAGAGATGACGATCCAAATGCACACTGCAGGGAGGCCCCTGAGCAACAAGCTCGGAGGCCTAAACAGTTGGATGCTTTGGGGTGTCATGACGCCACGCCTTTATCAAAATGTGCAACTATGGAAGTCAAGGTAGCTGGAGGACAAAAAAACCATTGCAGAAAATAGACAGCATTCTCCTACATACATCCTAGGAGCCAGGAGCACTGCAGAGCCAAAGGGGGATAATCTACAGAGACCAACACAGAGAACATTCTCTCAGCCCAACAACACAGCAGTCCAACCAGACAACGACCCCTCCTCCCAGAACTAAGCCACACAGGACCCCTACTGTGTCAGCTTAAAAACTGAACTTTGCTGGGCAAACACACTCAGCTGTATTCCAGACATTCACATGAAGAAGGGCCGGTTGCCGGGCTTTATTGGTTTGTTTTTTAAGCAAAGCTCTGGTCAGTTTTGCTATAGCAACTGGAGTTTAAAAACAACAATAACAGCCCCCGCTGGTTGGATTCTTCCAACGTCCCTGGCTTCGTAGCTTTTGAGAAAATAAAAGGAAGGGAAAGTCACCCCAAGCATTTTGGATCAAACAAAGATTCGGGCTTGCGGCGTGCAAGGAGGGAGGACTGGTCTTGTAAAAACTACCGCCGTCACTAGCTGGCCCTATGACAGCCGCAGAGTCAATTAGCCATGAGGGGAAGGGGGAGTTTAGAATCTAATAAAACAAAACATCCCCAGACCTACAGGAGCCCAGATGTGGCAATGCAAGGTGGTGAGAGGCCCTTCTGCAGGACAAGCAGCTGTTAACTGGTCCCTAGAATTGCAGAGGCCTGGCAGATCCTGAACAAAATCAAGTTGGGAATACACTAGTTTCCCTCCATTGTGTGAGGGATGGGGGGAGTTCCCCCTTCTGAGAACACAACAACCCTCTGCCTGATTCTTCCAAATCCTTTTAATACTGTACTTCCCAGCTATAATTTGAGAGAGGAGAGCACACATATCTAATTTCTCTACCAGAATCCCTTAAGTAGTGTCTTCTTCCCACCAGAGGCTCCTTTCCCCAGCATAATCCTTCCTAAGCCAAAACCCAACGTTTGGGGGCAGTGGGGAGTTAGTGGGTAATTACATTTTGAGCAGTGAACCGCTGTGGCATCGGAAAGGAAAGCACCCAATGCCTGAAGAGCAAAAATGCAGTTTCAGCAAACACTTTTTGAAAGGCGGCAGACAAGACCTGGAGGAGAGAAAAGGAAGGGACAAAACCGAGGGCTGGGCGTGAGGGGAAGAAAGGGCGGCGGGCCTGCGCTCACACTTGCCCCCTCCCCCATCCCCCTGGCCCACGCTGCTGGGCTCAAGCACGCAGGGAAAAGTCCAGCGAGTGACTCAGTGGGACAATGAGTCCTACGGACCCTGGAAATGGGTTGGGGACGGAGAGGAGATTAGCAAAGAGGTTCGCAAGGGGATGTCCGCGCACAGCTCACCCAGCACACGAGCTCCTCCGGCCTCCCTCCGGGTGCCCACTATGTACTCCCTCCCTCAAACCCTGCCCAAGGTGAGTGCTGGCCCTGGGTCCCCACGCTGCCTGATGCATCGGCAAGTGGAGGAGGAGGAGGAGACCCGACTCCAGGATGCAACCCGGGAAGGAATGCACTGGGGGCCGCTCCTCGGGCCCAGCCGGCTACCAGACCCTCCTGCTCCAAGGCCCCTTACCTCCAGGGTCCGGATCTCCTGCTGGGTGAGGTCGTTGGACACCGCGCACTTGGTGCGCAGCCCGCGCAGGCTGCCGATGGAGATGTCGATGAGCTTCTGGAGTTGCCCGCACTGCTGCAGCGCCCTGCTGGCCGCGGCCCCGGCGTCCCCGTCCCCGGCCGCCGCGGCCCCCCCGCCGCCGCCCTCCTTCTTCTCCCCCATCGCCGCTGCGCGCAGCGCCACTCTATCCATGCCTCGGCATCGGGGCCGCGGGGGTCCGAGGTGGGGAGCCCGGGGGCGCGGGCACCTCGGCAGGGAAGCCCCAAGCTGGGAGGGGTGCACCAGGAGCGCCCCTCAGCGCTGCCAGAGCCGGGACGCCTAGAGAGCCAAGCACCGAGTCCACTCCTCCAACCGCGGTTGCAAAGCGAAAGCCGCGGCAACCCGACGGCTGCGGCTCCCGGAGTCTTTAAGCGGCAGCGGGGGCCGGATCAGGGCTGCACGGCATGCTGGGACTTGTAGTCCGCGCCGCGCACCTGCCGCTGGCCCGCGCCCTCGGGGGCCCCGCCCGGGCTCTCGTGCCTCCGCTCTCCGCGCGCGCAAGCGATGCCGGAGGGCCCCACCTGGCTCCCGTGAGGGCCGGCCGGGCGCCGGCTCCTCCCCCCACTGCAGAATGGCTCGGGATCATCGCCTCCACCCCGGGCCTAGGAGCTTCCGCGACCCCCGGATGGGGCGGGGCAGGAGGGGGAAATGGAGATGGTGGGGGCTCCAGATATTGATACGGGTTTAGGCGCTGCCATCTAGTGGGAAGGGGCTTAAAGAATGTTTCCTGGGTTCCGCGGCAGAGCTCTTGCCTAGCATATGCAAGGCCTGGGTTGGATCTCTAGCACTGCCAAAAAAGAAAGAATTTTTCCTGCATCTGGTTAAAGGGGAAAGGACTTTCTTTCGGACGCTATTTACTCAAATAAGTATGCCTCTCCATGCCCAGCAGGTGGCACATGGTCGGCACATTGATTTGTCACAGGGCACTTCTGAGAGCTGTACAACAGAAGGACCTGAGTTCAGATTCTGACTGTACCAGTGCCACTGTCTGCTGTGTGACCTCGGGCCAGTGGCTTTCCTCTGAATGCCTGAGTATCCGTCTCGCTTAAGTGGGGGTAATAATGGAACCTCTCTGTTAAGGTTCCTATGAAGATAAATTTATATATGTACAGCACCTAGACTGATTAGTGGTGCATGTTCTAAGCTCAGATCTCCTAAATAAGGCCCTGAAGCCAAGCAATCAGTGGGCAGGGCAGCAGTACTGCAGGATGTATTTGTGCCTCCTAACCCAGTATTCAAGCCGCACCCCATCATCACCCTCCTCTCCCATCAGTGTTCCCTTATCTGGCAAAACTGAAAGCCAAGGTTGTAGTCAAAGGGCTCACCTCTCCATACGTCCAACATCTCCCAACCAGAAAAAAATGTCTCCCTGCAGGATTTTCTCCTGTAAGCTCCTTGCTTGCAGAAACCACTGCCTAACTTATCTCTCACCCTTTTCACAGAGCCAAATATGTAAGTGTGTGCCACACAATAAGGGCTCCAAAGGTTGGGCAACACCTCTCAGGAGCTCTTACAGGCAGATTCTGTGCCCTGGACAGAAGCTGTGCATAGGCACAGGACGCTGTAAGGAGCATAAAGAAATAAACTGTTTTTGTTTACAGGTACTAAAACATGAAATACTGGGAGGCAGTGTATATTGTACCTTCCTTCAATGTCATTTGACATTTTTAAATAAATTAAATATTAGATCTAAAAAACAAACCCATAATAATTTTAAAATACACTTTCACAAACTAACCTTCCTCTGGAGATTTCAGAAAATCTCCAGTTCTGCCCCTAACCATTAAGAACCACTGATCCAAGCCAGACACAGTGATATACACCTGATCACAGCACTCACCAGGCTGAGGCAGGAGGACCTCAAGGTCAAGTACAGCCTGAGCTACATAGTAAGACTCAGTCTCAAAAAAAAAAAAATCTGATCTAATCCTCGCCTGATGTATAAGAGGACCCCACCCCCATGCTGTACTTATGATCCCCCAACCCCCATGCTGTACTTATGATCCCCCAACACTGTTAACCTAATTCCACACCACCTCATGTAGCAGAGAAATAACTACTCTAAAAGAGAAACTGAAATCTTGGTTCTCAAATCTGAACGTCCACCAAAATCACCTGGACGACTTGTCGATTCCTGTTCCACAGGTCAAAGGATACCCTGAGAATTTGCATTTCTAGCACATTCTTAGGAGATGAGAACTGGATGCCAGTGCTGCTAGTGTGGGGACCATACTTTAAGAAGTCAGGGCACAGAGAAAAGTCATGGGCCAGAGAACTGTCTCAAGAGATTGTGCACAGCTCTGCTGCTGGGTTTAGAACCCCACTGTCCAGCAGCCAGGGTCACCAAGCTTTCAGGGATAACCCACTCCCACCCTCAATTTATAAGAGATTTATTTTTCTACTTCTCCTTCTCCTCTTCCTCCTCCTCCTCCTCCTCCTCCTTCTTCATTTGGCAATACTAGAGTTTGAACTCAGAGCCTTGCACTTGCTAGGTAGGTGCTCAATCACTTAAACCATGCCCCCAGCACTTTTTGTTTTGGTTGCTTTTTAGATAGGGTCTCACTGAATGCCTGGGACAGCTTCAGACCGAAATCTTCCTTTCTATGCTTCCCACATAGTTGGCATAAAACGTGTGACATGGCAACAAGCCATTGGTTGAGATGTGATCTCTTGCCAGGCTAGCCTTGACTCCTCCCAATCTCCCCCTCCCAAGTAGCTAAGATTACAGGCTTGAGACACCACACGAGCGACAAGAGATCTCTGATCAGTGCCTGTTTATGCACTTACAGCAGCTTGCAATTGCCATGGAATCTCTAGGGCCACTTTATGTGGGAAGCCACATCCTTTTGAGAAAGGCCACTGTTGGCCTGTGGCATCCTTGCCTACCCATGCCATCATGGCAATAAGTGGTTGGGCTGGAGACTGGACAAGCAGCAGCTCCCTGGTTGCTCACTGTTTCGTGGACTGTGTTCCTTCTGGTGGGAGAAAGCACAGAGTGGGCCACAGCTGTCCTGCCCAGGTCATCTCAGATGGACTCAGGCCTTCTAGACTGCATTGCAGTGTTACATCAGCCATGCATTTACAGAACCACAGGGTGGATGTGCAGAACACAAGTATCTGTCGTTTCGACAGTCAGTGAGTCGTCACTAAGGGTCTACTTATGTGGCAGGCCCAGTTCTGGATTCCAGAAAACAGCAGTGAGTAAAGCAAATATTCTTACCCTTAGGAAACTTATATTCTAGTGAAAGAAGACAAATAAGTAAGTAGAATGCACAATATATCAGGTGCGAACACGTGACATGGCCCAGCAGAAAGCAGGCCATGGGAGGAGAGAATGACACGACTCTGAATAGGGCTGTTGAAGGAGGGAGTTGTCAAATCCATCTCTGAATTGCTGTGTGACCTTGGCCAGGTGCTTTGTGACTGTGAGTAAGCCTCCTGATCTCATAAGACAGCTCCTCAGTTGCAAAACAAAGACACCGTGTTGTGAGGATAAACAGATAGTTATGCAAAATGATGGTCATAAAATTAGGAAATACTCTCTGTTTACTTACACTTGTTCTAAACACCTCATTAACTCATTTAACTGACAGGAGTTACTTTCTTCCCCACCTTCCAGAGTGACAGAGTGAGAGTCTCTCTCTCTCTCTCTTTGGTGGGAGTGGGGTTTGAACTCAGGGCTTTACCAACTGAGCAATACCTCCAGTCCATTTTGCTCTGGTTATTTTGAAGATGGGGTCTCAGGAACTATTTGCCTGGGCTGGCATGAAACCACGATCCTCCCAATCTCAGACTCCCAAATAGCTAGGATTATAGGCATGAGCCACTTGCTCTTCTCTGTAGATGAATTCATCTGTCATGTTCTCACTCTTAGGTTCGTTGTCACCTCCAAGTTCTTGAGAATTTTCCCTCATCCCTCCCCTTGCCTCAGGTACTTCTATTAGTGTCTAAATTTTCCTCCCCGTGCGTCTGAACACAGAAGCAACCATGGAAGCACGCTCCTGAATAGGCCCAACAACCATGAGAAGGGCACTGACATGCCAGGCTTGGAGATAGGCTCAGAGTGAGGGAAACCCATTCTTTATCCATGTGGAACACATGTAAGGGTAGGGGCAGAAAATACACAGGTCAACAAATACAGCACCAGAATAAAGTCAGAGTGATCAGTGCTATGAAGAAGGTGGGGGGGGGAAGCATACAGCTGGTAGTCCCCAGGGGATGAGGTACTTCACTCTATAAAGTGGTCAGAGAAGCACTCTAACTGATCTTTAAACTAAGAAAAAAGCCTTGTAGCTCCAGAAAAGGACCACTCCAGGCATCGAGAACATCACATGCAAAGGCCCTGAGGCGGGAATGACTTGGCACACATCCACAAACAGAAGGAAGGCCAGTGTGGCTACCGTATGATGCGGGAGAACTGGAGTTAAAGATCACATGGGATAGCTGGGCAGGGGCCAGATAAAGAAGGAAGTGGGGAGGAAGTTTGGATTTGCTCTTTGTTACTCCTAACGTGGTCTAAGAGCAAAAGCAGCTGCATCGCCTGGGAGCTTGTTGAAATGTAGTCTTGAGCCCAGTGTGGTGGCTCAGTTTAGACATGTAATCCTAGCTGTTCACAGACAACACAAGGACTGAGCTTGCCGTAAGCCTGTGTTCTTCCCAAGGCCTCCCCATGTTGCTCTAGCTAGAAAAATCCCATGGCTCCCTGTGGACCTCGAGGTTCAGCATGAATTCCCCAACAAGGTCTTCCATTCCCCGGCCCTGCTGACCTCTCCAAGTTTATCTGCTACCCAAGGCTGTTTCAAGGCCTGATTTAAGAATCTGATGAAAATAAAAAACAACTCCCGGGAAAAAATAATACACAGACACCCACAGTACTCATAATTGTGATGAAACATTGCAGGGGGTGAGGGGAGGGGGACTGGAGGCTGTCCATGAACCCCAGGGCTATAGGCAAGGTTGGAAACCCCGCTTACCCACTGAGCCTCACTGTCCTTACTCAACAATCTTGGGTTACATCATGAACTATTATGTCATGGTGTCTTTACTCAGGCTCTCTCTCTCTCTCTCTCTCTCTCTCTCTCTCTCTCTCTCTCTCTCTTTCTTTCTCTCTCTCTCTCTCTGTTTACCCTAAGATGTTCTAATTTGAGATCCACCTTCCAAGTGCTGGGATTACAGGCATGTACCACCATGCTGGGACTTCTCTCTAGGGATACTGATTCCTGCGTGACCCGTAAGTACTCATTCTAGAAGACACACAGGCTACAGAAGTGCAGCATGGACAGAGCTCTGGGTCAGCTGCAAAAATGAGCCTAGTTGAAAAATGACCT